GAGGAAGGGAGAGAGGGCTAGAAACATCAATGATGAGAGAGACTCATTTATTCATTGATTGAGCCCACAACCCAGGCATTCGCCCTTGACTGGAATCGAACTCGGGACCCTTCAGGGTACAGGCTAACACTCTACCCACTGAGCCAAACCAGCCAGGGCGATGGCAGAATGTTTTGTTAACAATTCTTCCTTCCTGCCCATCCTCGGCCTGGCTCACGGTGGGAGAGAGTGTTTCTGAATATGCCACCTGATGTGAGAGAACTCATTTCTGGTCATTGTGGTGAAGAAATGTATTTCCTACTCCACTGGCCAAACAGTACATGAGCGCAGATCCTTAAACAGCCAGCGTCCACCTGCATCGAGAAGAAGTGTTAGACTCCCTGCCCATCACTTGGCCCTCCCATACTCAGGAATCCCAATCTCACTGCACCCTCTTTCCCTCTTTCCGTTGGTATTTCCTTGAGATCAGGGGCCCTTTCTCTTCTCTGGGAATGGAGCAGCCTGTGGGCGGGCTTCTAGGTGTAACTTCAGTTCTTCACCAAGCCATCACTTCTTCTCTGGACATAAATCCAGCACCTCCTCGCCAGCCCTGCCCCCGGACTAACTTCCCCAGGCTCCTGAATAACGGTTCACGGAAGTGATAAATGAACAAAGCCTCGCACCAAGCGCCCCTCCCCAAGCAGATGCCAAGAGCTGATTCATCCTCTGCGTGTGACACCGATGGTTTCATCCAATGCAATACCCACTGGCACGTACTTGATAGCGATCGCTCTTTCACACTCTTACTCTCCGCCGATATTATGCAACAGCCAGCCCTGTCCTTTGACAAAGGAATTCTGTCAATACCTCCTGGTTTCTCTCTGAGGATAATGCGTGTCTAATCTCCCAGCTGACTTTCCAAGAGTCTTGTTTAGTAACCTGACTCATTTTTTTTGCTCCAAGGATCCTCTAATGGTGCTACCGGAGTTCTCATCGCTTACCTACTGGGAGCCACAGCACCCGTAAATTGTGTCGTGGAAAACTTTCTCGTGGGCGTGTCCTGGAAAACTTCAATCATGTCACAGAGAAGCCACTGTGCTTTGTTTGAAAAGGACACCAACACACCCCTGGCTTCCTGCCACCATTAGACAACGTTGCATAACAGGCGATGACTGGGGAGTGGGCGCAAACGGGGGAGGAGGGGAGGGGCTGCCATAGACAGTTCCGAGGCCGTCACTGTCCCACTCCCATGGACGCTTTCCCATTTCAGACACAGTTCTGAAATGGTCGCTCCCGCCGGTTCCCTTGTTAGTATACACAGAGATTCGCATTTCATATTTGCAGCGAGATTCGGGCCTCTCGGTGTGTTGATGATGCACTGACCTGCGGCATTGACACAACTATTCTCATCCCTCCGTGAACCCCTTCTGAGCAGCTGGTCTATTTCTGTGAAACGGGGATCCCACATAAGACCAGCGACAACAACAACAACAACAATGGTATTTTAACAAGGGAACAGCAAGCAAGGGATACAAAAAGTTTACTGACCAAGATACAGTGCACCACATGGGATGCAAGCTCTATTAACCAGGGCGGTTTTCACAGCACAGACACAGTTTTTAATAGTGTGGGTTTTAAGAACCTAAGATTTTTGCTACCATCACAAACACTCTCCTACGTGCTCTGTCACTCCTTCACCACCGCCTTTCTGATCTCATTTCCAACGACCCCCTGGCCACCCCACCCCATCTTGCTAATCTTTGAACACATCCAAACACATTCTCACCTCTGGGCCTTCGCAATGGCTGCTCCCTCTGCCTGGAACACCCACCCTCAGGCATCATTAACCTCACTCGCCTCCTTTAAGTCTTTGTAAAGGTCTCTTTCACTGCGACGCCTCCTCCACCATATTTACCTTGCTCTGCTTTCTCTTCTTTCCAAAGCCCTTGCCTCCTCACCTGGCATGCTATATGATTTACTTATTTACTTGCTTTATTATCTGTCTCCCACTCCCATCCCTCCATTCCCAAGGGCAGGGATCTTTTATTCATTTGTATTTCCTGGCACCTAGATCAGAGACTGAATCACAGAAGGTGCTCAATAAATAGTGCAATGAATGAATGAAGGAAATTCTCATTGCTTTATCTCTCTGACCACAGTAAAGCGGCCCATAGCTGGGGGGTGTGGGGGGGGGCAAATCCTGAGAGCTGGGAACCACCTGTCCTGGCGATGGTGGAAGAAACGCCTTTAGAAGGGAATTAATGCAATTGCGCGGAAGCCCTTTCCCTAGCAGACACCATGCGTCCAAGGAGCCATTTGTGAAATGAACAAGAGCTCAGGAACGCACGACTGTTTTCCCCCCTGAGGGGTGCCATCGTATTCAATTCAAAGACATTTTTTTTTTATTCGTATAACTGTTTAAACTGCTTCACATAACCACAAGTGAGACCAAAGTGTGCCAAGGCAATAACCCAAACAAACAGCTTCATGATGACTTTTTAAATGTACAGAGAAAGGAGAACTGAGCTGGTTAGACTGCTGGTCTCCCTGGAAAGATCAAGACGATGACTTCCCCACCCTCTACCCTACCCCACTCCAGCTCCCCACAGGGAGGTGGCTAAGTGGCAGGAACACAATGACCCTTTCTGCTGGGCTCCCCGTGGGAGGGAGGCCATCTGCCTCCCTCACTATATAAACAATCCCTACAGGAATCCGCCGATGACCAAACAGATTAGCCACCTCCAGACTGTCGCACCGTGAATGACAGCCCCGTGCAAAGGAGGCCTCTCGCTTCAATAAGGACAAAGATGAGCCCGATAACTGGCCCTCCTCTGTCTATAGGTCATGGATAATCTCTCAGAACACACAGCCATCTGTGAGGGGAAAGGGAGCTCTCTCTTGGCAAAGGAAAAAGGAGAAACAGTAAAAAGAAAGTCATACGTGCCTGGCCAGGGTTGCTCAGTGGTTAAGCCTTGACCTATGAACCAGGAGGCCACGGTTCCATTCCCCGTCAGGGTATATGCCCAGGTGGTGGGCTCGATTCCCCAGTGTGGCCGGCAGGAGGCAGCCCATCAACAATTCTCTCTCATCACTGATGTTTCTCTCTCTCCCTCTCCCTTCCTCTCTGAATTCAATAAAATTATTTTTTTTTTAAATAAAAGAAAATCCTACTTGTCAGACAAACCAGTGAGTATATGAAATTTCACCAGGTCTGAGAGAGGACTCTATTAGTTACCTTACCATCTTTTTCTAAATGACCATGCACAGGAAACTACTCAACAAGAGACAAACGCCACACTCCGACAAAGGAAAGGGTGCCAGGTGCATTCCAAGTTTGCTGGGCTCCAGGACCCGTGGAAGCACAAACATACCAACGGGCTAACGCCTCGGGCAAGTTTGCCTGCTGCCCACCTGTCTCCTGGATGACCACAGACTCTGCGAGCTTCCTCCAAGTTCAAGATCTACGGATCCCTGTACCGCTGGGAGCCCCTGCAAGGTCCCCAGGGACGTCCCCCTCGGAAGGAAAGAAATGTGTCCCTAAAACTCAGAGTGATCGCCTCGCAAAACACTGGAGCTCCGCTAGCAGAGGGGCCGGGCGCGGGGAGCCCGCCTCTGCAGCCGCTTGGTCTCGAGGGCGCCCACGTCCTCATCCACAGCCCGGCTCCTCCAGGCCCGAGCCGGCCGGGCAGCTCCGGCAAGTCCCGGCCCAAAGGAAGCGCAGCCTCCGCTGTCCCAACAGTGCTCCCCCCAACCCGCGGCGCTCCCCCCGCGGCGCTCCCCCCGCGATGCTCCCCCAGCGGTGCTCCCCCCGCGATGTTCCTCCCGCGATGCTCCCCCAGCGGTGCTACCCCCAGCGCTGCTCCCCCAGCGGCGCTCCCCCAGCAGTGCTCCCCCCGCGATGCTCCCCCAGCGGTGCTCCCCCAGCGATGCTCCCCATCGATGCTCCTCCCGCGGTGCTCCCAGTCCCCAAGTGCGCGCCCGGGGAGACCAGCCCGGACGCGCGTCCGGAAGCCCACCCGCGCGCCGGGCAGCGGGAGGCCAGGTGTCAAATGAATGACCGCGGCGGAGCCCGGAGGAAAACAAAGCCGCCCCCACGGTCCCATGCCTGCGGCGGAGGGCCCGGCCGGGCGCGCACTCACCGGGCTCAGCGGACGGGGACGGGCGCGGGGACGGGTGCGGGGCCCGCGCCCGGGGAAGCCCCGCAGTCCTCGAGGTCGGGACCCGCGCCCGGGGGCTGCTCTCCGCCGGGGCGCGCGCCGCGGGGAGGCTGGCGGCCGGGGCGCCGCGGTGCGTCGCATGCAGGTCCGGGCTGCGCCGCCGTCTCCGCCCCGGGACCCACGGCGGCCGGAGGAGGCGCGGCGGGAGCGGGGCGCGCCCTCAGCGGCCATCCCCGCCGCCCCCCGCCGCGGGCCGGGGCTGCGCGCGCCTTTGTGCTGGCATCGTCCTCGGCACCCACGGACCCGGCGCGCTCCCTCCGGCGGCTCCCGGGCCGCTCCGCGCCGCCGCCCGCCGGCTACGCCGCGCCCCCCGCGGATTGTGCCGAGTCAGCAGCGGCGGCGGCGGCGGCGGCGGCGGCGGCGGCGGGGACGCGCGGAGCCATGGCTCCCGCCCGCGCTCCGAGGCGCCGGGTCCGGGCGCAGCTCGGCGGCCGGGCCCGGCGCGGCGTGTCCCCGATCGGCCCGCAGCGCCGCCCGCGAGCTCTCCGTGCGCGGCCCGCCCGGCCCCTCTGGCGGCTCCCGGCCGGCAGCCCGGCCTCCGGCCCGCCATCACCTTCCCCAGCCTCCCGCCCGCCGCCACCTTCCCCCGCCCGCGGTCCCGCCGCCGCCCCCACCCGCGGCGCCCCGGCCCCTGGAGGGCGAAGGGCCGGCCGCTCCATCCGGCAGCGCCCGCGCCCCTCCCGCCGGCCGCCAGCGCAGCCTCTGCCCGCACCGCCCTGCGGGGCGCGGGGCGGGGGCCTCGGGCACGTCGGGGACCCGGGAGGAGACGGGGGTGGGGGTGGAGGACGGGAGGGACAGACAGACCTTGGCCGGCGGGACCTTCCCGGGAAGGTGAGCGGGCGGGCGCGGGCGGATCCGAGGCTGCGGAGGCTCCCCTGCTCCCCGGCGGCGCGGGGGGCCGGACTGCCAATGGCGACGCGGAGCAGGGAGGGGGCCCTCCCAGGTCGTGCGCCCACACTCTTCCTGGATCCCGCGGAAAAGCCGAATGGAGGGGTGTCATGCCTCGGTTTCCCCAACTGCAAGGGCCAGACCGCAACACTCCTCCCGTCACCTACGCGGGGTGTGGTCACGATTAAAAATGGATTATTGGGAGCGCGCTGAGCCGCGTTGCCTAAAGAGGGCACTAGCATGTAAGCATGTGCGGTCCTAAATGTTTCCGGCCTTCTCTCTGCTGCTTCTGCAGCATCTCCGTGGGCTCAGCCCCACTTGGGGAAAGAGTAAAAACGCTGAAATGTGGGGACATTGCCCCCTATGCGTGGTATCTACCCAGGTATGGGAAAGATTTACTGGATTTTACAGTTTAACAACTGTACCTATATGGAGGGGTCCCAAAATATCTCGCCCATAAAGAAAAAAAAATAGTGGATATCCCTTAATTTGGCTTTTTCAAAATATGTGCTCTCGGTATTCATCTCTTCCCCTTCTCTGGTAACTGAGGGAGAGAAGATGTCTTTTGGGGGGGGGGGGGGGAGACTGCCCTTCCCCCTGGCACAGGAGTCTTCCTGGTACCAGGATGCCAACACCTGCCACTTCCCACTTCCAACCTAGCTGGTCATCCTATTACAGACCAACCACAGTGACTGGTCCCCGGATGGGAATATTAGTCCAGCAACTCAATCTGGGGCTTGGCTGAATCCGTTCAGAAAAAGAAGCCCTTTAAAACTAGGATGGTGGCCGGCTAACCGCAGCTCGCAAGCCACATGCGGCTCTTTGCTGTAGTGAGTTATCAACCTGAAGACCTCTTGGAGTGTTACGTTGCAAATCCGAGTTTATGTGCAGATGTCTCCTAGACCCGTGATCGGCAAACTGCAGCTCGAGAGCCCCATGCGGCTCTTTGGCCCCTTGAGTGTGGCTCTTCCACAAAATACCACGGCCTGGGCGAGTCTATGTTGAAGCAGTGGCGTCAGCAGAAGTTTAAGTTTAAAAAAATGGGGCTCTCGAAAGAAATGTCAATCGTCGTCCTGTCGACATTTGGCTCTGTGGACCACGAACTAGGATGACGCCTTTGGAAGGATACAAACCAGTGCTAACAACTGCCACCCCTGCCTGTGGATGAGGCCAACTTCAAAGGAAGGGAAGCTGAGGGAGAGAAGATGTCTTTTGAGTCTTGGAAGGCAAATGGGACTGAATGAACTCCTACCCCTAAAGCCAATCAACCCCCCTCCTCTGTTTCCTCCGGTCAGTTCAGCTGTGTCCTGTCACATGTAACAGAAAGCCCGGTCCCTTTATTCCCCTGGCTCTGTCCAGCCCAAGCATCATTGGCAGGTGCCTCCATGGCACTCATGAACGCCACACACCCACCACACTCAAAACACACCCATACAAACATGTTCTCTTTCTTCTTCTTTTTTTTTTTTAAATATATTTTATTGATTTTGTACAGAGAGGAAGGGAGAGAGATAGAGAGTTAGAAACGTCGATGGGAGAGAGTCATCGATCAGCTGCCTCTTGCACACCCCCTACTGGAGATGTGCCCGCAATTGGTACATGCCCTTGACCGGAATCGAACCCGGGACCCTTCAGTCCCCAAGCCGACGCTCTATCCATTGAGCCAAACCGGTTTCGGCAAACAAACATGTTCTCTTTCTACAACTCACTCCACCGAGCAACCCCACACCCACTACCCTCAACCTCCTGTATTTTTTTTTTTCAAGTATATTTTATTTATATGTTTTACAGAAAGGAAGGGAGAAGGATAGAGAGTTAGAAACATCAATGGGAGAGAAACATCGATCAGCTGCCTCCTGCACACCCCCTACTGGGGACGTGCCCCCAGTCATGATACAGGCCTTTGACCGGAATCAAACCTGAGACCCTTTAGTCTCAGGCCGACGCTCTATCCACTGAGCCAAACTGGTTAGGGCGTCAACCTCCTGTATTAATTAACCACTGTTACAATTGAGCTTGAAACAAACAAAAAATAGGATAAAAATAAATAGAGCTAAAATGGATCCTTATTGCTGCCCTTAGGGTTTTTTGGGGGGGTTGTTTGTTATTGTGTTGTTGTTGTTGTTTTTTCACCTTAAAAGCAATTCCAGCCCTAGCCGATTTGGCTCAGTGGATAGAGCATCTGCCCCATCTCACCTGAGGATACTTTCTCATTGATTTTTAGAGAGAGTGGGAGGGAGAGGGAGAGACAGAGAGAAATATTGATGTGTGAGAGAGACATGGGTTGGTTGCTTCCTGTACGCACCCCGATCAGGACAGGGAATCTGCAACCAAGGTACATGCCCTTGATCAGAATCAAACCCAGGACCATTCAGTACCCAGGTTGGCAGAATATTGAGAGAACTCCCAAAGACTGAATTTTTAAAAAAAACAAAAAAAAAAAAACAAAAAAAAAACACCTGAATTCAAAAAAGGGTAAAGGACCTAAATAAACATTTCTTCAAAAATATATTTGACTAGCCAATAAGCACATGAGAATATGCTCTACAACACTAATGCAAATGAGATACTGCACCACACCCATTAGGATGGCTACTGTTAACCAAGTGTTGGTGAGAATGTGGAGAAATTGGAACACTTGTGCACTGTTGGTGGGAATGTAAAATGGTACAGCTGCTGTGGAAAACAGTATGGCGGTTCAAAAGCTTAAAAATAGAATTACCACACGATCCAGCAATTCCACTTCTGGATTATAACAAGAAGAACTGAAAGTGGGGTCTCAAGGATTATCTGTACCCGACTTCAAAGCAGCATTGTTCATGATAACTAAAACGTGGAAGCAATCCACATGCCCATGGACGGATGAAGACATGAGTAAAATGTGGAATATCCAGACAGTGGAATATTATTCAGCCTTGAAAGGAAAGGAAATTCTGCAATATGCAATATGGTTGACATTACACTAAGTAAAATAAGCCAGTCACAAACACACACACACACACACACACACACAAATATTTCATGATTCCACTTACATGAAGTAGACAAAAATCATAAAGACAGGAAGTACAATGGTGGGTGCCAGGGCCTGGATGAAGGGGAGAATCAGGAGATATTGTTTGTTTGCTTAATATATTTTTATTGATTTTAGAGAGGAAAGGAGAAAGGAGGGAGAGATAGAAACATCAATGATGAGAGAGAATCCTTGCTCAGCTGCCTCCTGCACACACCCTACTGGGGATCAAGCCCACAACCCACGCTCGTGCCCTTGACTGGAATAGAACCCAGAACCCTTCAGTCCGCAGGCTGATGCTCTATCCACTGAGCCAAGCCAGCTAGGGCTGGGGAAGATACTGTTTTAACTTTACAAGATGAAAGAGTTATAGGGACAGATGGGGGTGCTGGTTGCACAACAGTGTGAATATTTTTAACACCACATGACTGTATACTTAAAATGATTTTAAATAAATGTTATATCTTTTACCACAATAAAAATAAATAAGTAAAATAAATTGAAGCAAGAAACCCTGACCTAACATACCCTCCCCAGCTTGGGACTAAAGCTGGAGAGGACATTTCTTTGGAGGTTCACATCTGTCTGCCTTCTCCCGTGACCCGCCGAAACTGGGACAGATGTGTTGCTCTTACTTCCCCTTCCTGTATCTCTGGAACTTCCTTTGGCCCAAAGCAATGCCTTTAAAACAGGTGCTCCTTCCCAAACCTAGCCTCATTGCTAAGCCAGGATTGGGAGGGGAGGAGGGGTATGGGGGGGGGGCGGGGGGAGCTAGCCTACTGAAGAGGGAAACTAAATTGGAAGGCAACTTTAAAATATTGCAATTGCGCCGAGACTGGTTTGGCTCAGTGGATAGAGCGTCAGCCTGGGGACTGAAAAGTCGGTCCCGGGTTCGATTCCGATCAAGGGCATGTACCTTGGTTGCGGACACATCCCTAGAAGGGGGTGTGCAAGAGGCAGCTGATCGATGATTCTCTCTCATCGATCTTTCTAACTCTCTATCCCTCTCTCTTCCTCTCTGTAAAAAAAATCAATAAAATATATATAATTTATTTTAAAAAATAAAATAAAATATTGCAATTGCATTATTAGCAAAGGATAGTTAACTTCTAAAATACCTCCAACATATACTATATCATTTGGAAAAAATTAACTCCATTGTTATCCCAACTTAATGGGTAAGAAACTAAATCACAGAAAGACTACGTCATTTGCCAGGACTAGCACCAGGCCTCTGGCTCCTCATTCAGTATTTTCCCCACTGTGGTGCGTTGTCTCTTTGGTTAAAATAGCTCTTACATTAGTTTTTATAAAGCTGACCTTCAAATACTGAAAATGAATCTCCCACTCAAATCATTTGCTAGTTTAGAGCGCCTTTATATTTGTTTCAATGGTTGCCTCGTCAGTTTCCTGTTTTCTGATTGTTTTCATCTTTTCAGCACCTTTCATAATATCACTCATAACATTTTCAATAATACTCACATCAGAAGAGCCCCAAATTGCTTGCTGAGTGAATATATCTCTTCAGACTCTCTTGAAAGCAGAAGCCAAAATAAGCTTAAAGATACAAAAAAGGATCCTGGGAGAGGATGATATTTTGGTTATATAATGAACATTTTCAAACTCCTAACTATACTCTATACTTGGCATATTTTTCTCGTTGATGACCAAATAGATAAACCCCGCATTTTTGCTTGGCTCAAAATTCCCACTGAAACAGGGCTCTGTGTGGGGAGAAGACTGTGGGGGATGCCATTGCTTGGGCCACAGAAAAGACACCGATCCCGGAAGCTGTATCCTTACTGAACCCTGTGCCGAGGAGTCCAGGATGTGTCTTAATTCACAGTCACACAGAGGCAACAGGTGACTCACCATTAACCTAAGAAGACTTAGAATTAGACAGAAGGACAGAAATATATTATGAAATTAAAAGCAAGAGCGGCTCTGACCAGTTTGGCTCAGTGGATAGAGCGTCGGCCTGGGGCCTGAAAGGTCCCAGGTTCAATTCTGGTCAAGGGCATGTACCTTGGTTGCAGGCACATCCCCAGTAGAGAGTATGAAGGAGGCAGCTGATCAATGATTCTCTCTCATCGATGTTT